TAACATTCAAGGAACATAACTTTGTTAGCTGACCTCTTTCTTGTGGGTTTTAAGCAAACGAGCAGTGAAATGGGAGCAACTAGAGTTTATTTTGTCATAAGGTAGTGTGATTATGCATGACACGAAGTATTTGCTAGTCTAGTACTGGAGAAATTAGCGTTTGGATGCGCATTGTGAGCCTTTAACCCTTCTGGAGCCAAAGTGGCTGTTTTACTGTGGTAGTCCAGAAGGCAGAGCAACATAAATGTTATTTAAGACAAAGTCATTTTGTAACATTCATTCTTACTGGTAGACCATTCAGGATCTGAAATTAGTTTGTTTACAGTCAGTAGTCAGTTAGCTTACACTTACAGTCAGTCAGCACTGGTTATGATTACTGGTAAGCTACTGGCAAAAACAAATCATGAATGGCACAATTATCAAGATTTGAGTACCCGGAGCCACATCCCTGATGTATTTCACTAATCCTAATATAGGGGTGGCCATGGAAACACCATGTCATTCACAGTGAGAATGAATTTGTACTATTTAGATGAGGTGTATGATTTATCAGTGAGACCTGGTGATGAGGATGATAGTCTTGAAAGAGGAAATAACATTGATTAGAGATTTTTCAGAATTTGCTGACGAATCGGAGGAACATGAACATCAGACCTGCTTGACTGGTAAGAGTGACAGGAAAATTGGCGCAAAGAGGGTGGTGTGGTCTAACGTAAATTTCCTTTTCTCCAAAATATCATTCATAAGTGAGTTGCAAAATGTATGAAAAAATGCTGTTGATGCGACAATCAATGGGTTAGAAATAAAACATTTGTTGCCATTTATTATTAAAGTGATTACGTCACGAATTTCTAGCACCATCAAGTAGTATATTTGTGTGTTATTTGTACAAAATAAAATGTATGAAAATACAATTAGTGTTTCTGTTTACTTTTCATGCTTATATACCTTCTTTATATGCCCTAATTTGCCGGTGAAAAACAGAGAGACGCCAGTATCTGAACAGTACTGGGGGAAGTGTTAGACAACAGAAATTACCAAATCGTCTAGATTTTTGCAAATTTAACCAATGTAAAAACATTTTTATCAGGTGAGAGTTTGAGGATATATTTAGTAACGTTAGTTCTTACTTTTAATGTAAAAAAATTGCAATTTTTTTTTACAAATTTTACCATGGAAAATTCGTGACGTAGTCAATTTAAAATGGGTTTTAATTACATTTTGAAATTTTCTGGTAAATTATCAAAATAAAAGTTTTAGAAAAATCTCCTGCGAAAAGGGTTAAGTTTGAATTGACTAAAGATCAAGACACACAACAGCGACAACGGCTGACCATAAGGTTTGACAACATTTCAGTAAATGAGAAACTATTTTTTCCAATTAGCTTTGCACAGTCATGTGATAATGTATGGCAACAACCATAATGACAAAAATATTTAGACTTGTTTCTAAGTTCCAGCGACTTAGTCGCGCAACACTTCACAAATAGCCAATTACAACTGTAGATGTTTTCAGCACGTGGCAAAAACAACTCAGATCGCAATTTGGTATTTGTCAAACAAACAATTTTATATGTTCAACGAAATTTGGTTTCATAAAATCATGTACATTTATTGTGCAAGGGTGCCCCAGCTAACAGAAAACATTTGGCTGTCCCTAGCGCAGGACTTTGAAATCAATGGCAAGCCCATATAACATTCAATGGTCTCAAGTTTACAAATAACTTATGCCAGTCAATAATGTCTGCAGTTTCGCTAGTGCCAGTTGCTGCGACTTTTAAAAAAGAAGCTGAATGTTACAGTTGGTCATTGTTGCTGTTTTGGCCTTTTGAATAGCCGCTGTTCAAAGATAATTTGGGTAGTGTGTTACATCCTGCACACTGCCTACCTAAGAAACTATGCCACATAAACATTGCATTTATGCTGCATTTCCTGTAGAAACGAATGTGCCGTCACTGTAGTGCAGAATAGTTGCTAAGTTGGGTAATAATGTGTTGATTCAGTGTTTTTGCGCACTAACTTCACGCCTATGTATAAATTAAAGAGAGATTTAGGCTATTGTTTCATGTGACTAACAACGTAGATCGGATCACCTAAAACTTTATATCTGGCAGCTTGACACTGACAGCGGAAACTCTTTCATTACAATTTGTGCATAGGTGTGAAGTTATTGAGTAAAAATGTCATGTTAATCCATTTTACCTCATTATTTCACTCTAACATTAAAGCCAGACTACTTCTGCAAAAAAATAAGTACATGAGAGGTGAACAAGTTGAGTAGTAGTACTAGTTCATTTAAAGTCATATAAGTGAGTTCTGTGCATGATCTAACAGAACACACCCACAGGCACTTGGAACGTCTCAATAAAATAAAAGAAGGTAAATAAACAGTTTCGCCTATAATCACCTGTAAATGCCGGTCAAATGCTCATCTGCAACACACAAGTACACCACACGCTAGCGGCTGCACACTGACACATAAATATATAGCAGGTAGGAAAGCTTGCTGCCAAAATTCGCGTGACGCTTGCTTGATTTCATACGAATACAACACAAATATTCAGCCATTCTACCCCATCTTTGTTTCTATTTGAAGAACAGTGTTCACTTGTTATAAAAACATACTGTCTGTGTTTTTAACCGAGCTGTGTCACGCGAAATCACACAAATCCTGACGAAATTATCGCGTTCGCTCCCATTGCGCAGTTTATGTAAATGGCTGTCGGAATCAGAAAACACCCACCGGTGCTCTTCGTGACCTCATTTTTGCGCCGCAACGCTCCACTGGCGGCTTTGACGGGGCTCGTACGGGAGTTGGAAAGCAGCGTGGTAGTTTCCCAAAATGCAGTGCGCTGCCTATAGACCTGTACTTGCAGCCATTTACATAAACTGCGCAATGGGAGCGAACGCAAGAATTTCGTCAGGCTTTGTGTGATTTCGCATGACACAGCTCGGTTACGAACACAGACAGTATGTTTTTATAACAAGTGAACACTGTTCTTTAAATAGAAACAAAGATAGAGTAGAATGGTTGAATATTTGTGTTGTATTCGTATGAAATCAAGCGGGCGTCGAGAGAATTTTGGCAGCACGCTTTCCTAGGCCTACCTGCTATATATTTATGTGTCAGTGTGCAGCAGGCTGAGCAGCTAGCGTGCGGAGGCCAGCGGCAGCGTGTGACAGTGTGACTGTGTGTTGCAGATGAGGATTTGGACAGGATTTAAAAGAAATTGTCTGCAATAATAGGTGAAAGAGAGTAGAGAAACATGAAGACTTTGGTAGTAAATAGATTTCGTATTTGTTTAGCATTATATTTTTATTAAAACGCTCCAAGTGCCTGTGAGTGTGAACACACCGTCCGCTGATTATGAATCATGATGCCGAGGACTCACTTAATTTAACTTTAAACTGGGCACATAATTGCGCGATTCCTCGGGTTCCTTCACGTGACGTATATGCGCTCTCTGAACTCCCTGCGTGTGCTCACTAGGCCTAGCTTAGATTACCAGATACTTTTAGTATGGTTAGCGATCAATGATTGAAGTGATAAGAAATGAGAATGAAATCAGCCGCGTAAGGACGCCGCCATTATAAGATTTTCGTACAACCTGTAGGCTGTAGCCCTATCAGTTATACATTTCCAATTAATATGAAAAATAAGTATTATACAAAAAATCTGACATCATTTGCATAAAATAAAATGTATTTACAATTTTTACACTTAAATGGTAAACATTACATATTGTATAGTCTGAAATATAGCCTTCTTTTGTCCTCATCCATCACATCATAAAAGATGTTCCTATGTCTTTAGCGAGGCCGTAAGATTTGAAAGTCTAGTGTTTACCACATGTAGTATTGCACATGTAGTATTGGTTTTCTAGGTACAGTAGACATCTTTATAATCTTGGTTATTTATGCAAATGCAAGCATTTACATGAACCCATTGTCATTCAACCATCGATGGCAAAATACCAAATAATAATTAATATGTTTGCTGTGTAATTCGTATGATATTATTTAATATATAGCCTAGGTATAGCTTACCGTACCGGTAGTACTTTTTCTCCTGTCTGTCAATGTGTGTTTGTCAACAGTTTGATCAACTTCCTCTTTTCGTCTTCGATGTACATATCATTATAGTCTAGACTAGATGCAATAATGTAACCCAAACACAGGATAGGGTACCTAGGCTATAGGGTACACCCTATCCTGTGTTTGGGTTACATTATTGGGTGCTACATAGTACATATAGACTGTCCCTAGGACTTTGAAGACTAATATTTATGAGGATACAAATTAAAATAATACAACAGTGAGTTACATTTACTAGACCAATAATTGAACTTAATAACATAATAATTGTTTTTAGGGCACATCGCCTTCTAACAGTAACACAGTAAGCCGAGTAACAGTGACAGTGTTCAGATCAACAGCACAGCCACAGGTGCTTGGGTCATTGTTTCACACGGGCACTGGTCAACTCGACCCAACCGCCAACTCGACTCGCATTGTGATGAGTTTATCCGCCTGGAAGTCCGTCAGCTCGGCTCGTGGGTCGAGATGACCCACCTGGAAATCGGGCAGCTCAACTCACGTGCTAACTCATTTAAGATGTTTTACACATTCCGACGTCAAAACATCTATTTTTATTATTATTAAACCTTTATTGCATATAATTCACATACAAATACATGTACTGAAAGCAGTCTTTTACACAGAGAACAAATCTGATGGATGCTATAGTGTTGAGCTAAATAATAAAATTTACTTGATTTGAGTGCAATAATTGCAAGGTACGGTAGAGGATCATTTCTGTCTGGTTGATGTACTTGTATATAAATATAAGTGTGTGGTATTTTTGTGGGAATAACCTTTTATTATGCGTAGAGTATAATTTTGTCACACATGATCAATCTCAATTTTCAATCTCACATGAGTTAGCTGGTGAGTCGAGCTGCCCGATCTCCAGGACGGTCATCTCGACCCAGGAGCCGAGCTGTCCGTCCTCCAGGCAGGTAAACTCGTCACACGGGTCGGGTTTGCCGACGAGGCGAGTTGACTACGGACCGTTTCACACAAACACCATTCAAATGCTTAGACTCTATGCATACAGTCTACAGACAGTCCCACCATATTCACACCACTGCTTAAACTCGCAGAAGATTCTCTAGTGAATACAATTTGACATAATTTTATTATGGAAACGGCCAAGTGCCAGTGTGATCAGATCAGATCACTGTCTCGAGTGGAGTCTGCTTATAAACACATATTAAGTAGCTATTACTTATTACGTGGTATTAAATTTTAATTTTGACTACTCACTGGCCAAGCTTGGCTGTAATCTGAAACTACACGTTACGGGTCCGTAGTGCAGAGCAATATATACAATATTAAGTGTCAGTAATAACTAATAACCTTTTTAAATTGCTGCCCCATAGAACTCTCTTTTGTTATTTTTATAATGCCCGTGTATCTTGGAGCACTACAACCTCCATCATGCCGCATTAGTTATGTTTGATGAAGTCTATAGTGCTACAGCTAGCACTCTGGTATGTTGGAGCACATCCTTTGTGAAAGTTTGGCTATAGTGCCAATGGTGCGAAAGACACATGCTAAACTAATATATTACACGGCGTGTGATTTGTGGGTGTGTGTTCTCCGGATCACTACCCATGTTATAAAAAATCAGTAACACAATGTCTTGAGGGAGAATGAGAGTAGACGCATTATCTGGTATATGTTAGGACCTCAGTATATTGATCATTGTTAATGTTATCATCATCACCCTAGTCCAGAGTAATAGCTAGCAAGATGTCTTGCCGGTTTATGCAGATGTGACTACAGGAAAGGCTCCTTCTTTCCCAGGTCTATTACAGAGTGGAACGCCTTACCCACTGAAGTGATGACAGCCGAGAATCTATGTTCCTTTAAGTCTCTGATTACTGCCTAAACGACATCAGGGCAGTTTTTTAAGTAAAATTTGCTTTTTGTTTGTTTTTTCTTTAGAAAATCAAAGGGAAGGAAAATTTTATTTTTGTCTCGACTAGCGCCCTCCCGTTGGCAGAATCATCAGTATGTTGATGGTGGCCAATATAGAGTAGAAGTATAACAGCCTATTGTTGTACTAGATGCACATATTTACTACCACTGGCTAACTTGTTTTTGTGAGTAAAGGAAATGAGGAACCCCCTAGCAGGCAAGCGCTCAACGTGCTGGGACAAAAATGTTCCAGTCATTTGACACTCCCACCTCATCAATCTCAGCTAATACTCTGCCTAGCCCATCATTCGGGAATAGGACCCTAAAGTAGACTTGCTCCGAATTCAGCCGTCTATTTGTATGATTGTCAGGCACGCTGGGCAGCGAATATTAAAGGGGCTGCTTGCTGTTGCTCTTCACCAGTGCATCAGGTCCTCTCTAGGTAGTCTGTTGTGACTGTGAGTATGATTGATGCAATGTGTATTTTATTGGTTAGCACTCCATTTTTCAGGAACATATCCTAAGCAATACCTTAGGAATTATTGTATTATTGTTCTTCACTATCATTAGTGGAGTGTCTATCTGTAAATCTTTTTTTACAATTTATACAAAACGAAAGCTTGTCATCTTCGCACACTGATCATGCGTAAAATGTGATGGCCTGAACAAATATTATATTTCTTATTTGAGGAATACATTATAACAGAGTAGTGTCACAGGCTAAAGTACACGAAGTACGACATTCACTAACCTTGGTCGACATATAATTTATTACGTGTAAAATTTGAACCCTGCAACGTCTTGCACTTCTCTGCAGGCATTCATGATAACTTTTATACCAGCATCACACTTGATTTTTAGCTCAACTTGACATCGTCAAGCTGAGCTATTGCCATGGGTCGTCGTCCGTCGTACGTCCGTCCGTCCGTCCGTCAACATTTCGCTTCGGTCAACGATAACTTAGGAACTCAGAAGAATGAATAACTGTAGATTATTTCCAAAACTGTGCACACTGATTACACATGGTCCTGTCATAATTAAATATATTAAATATTTCAGTTAAATTGTTTTTCGTAATTTCAGATGTCATCATGGTAGAAGATAAAAAGCGAAAAAAGCACAAGGCTAAGCTTGATCTGAGTGTGTCTTCAGTAGGAAGTGACAATGAATCAAGTGCAAAAATGAAACGCAATCGAAAGAGAAAGAAGAAGAAGAAGAGAAATGACTCAGAGATTGAAGAATCTACAGATGTCGGGCCTGTGGCAAATGAAGAAACCTCAGACATAGTGGCCAAGACTGATGACACTGGTAATAATGTTAAATTTGTTGGTTTACATTACAATAATTGGGTGTATAATTTGGTTTCTCTTGCTTAAAACTTACCAGCATTATATTTCATTTATACAAAATATGTACTTGTGATTATAGCCTACAGTCAGAGAAGTATCCCCAAAGTCATCCCCTGCATTACAAACACAGTTACAAAAAATCTTCCCATATGAAATTTAATAATTATGGCTCGTACTTTTGTGATGCATAGCATAAATGTCCTCTTATAAATTAAACCAAGCTACCATATTTGTTTTGATTACTATTAAAATCCTAATGTGAATAGCACAATACACTGCAATAGGACTGCTGATCTTTAACTTATACAGTTGATAATATCCAACCCACAGATAATAGCATGGAAATTGACACAGGCTGGACGGTAGAGGATCAGGAAACCCTTTTGGAACACATGCTCTCACTGTTGCCAAGCAGAAACAACCTTACTTATAGTGTACAGATGAAAAAACTGGACTGGGCAACAATTGCCTTTGGGGCACACACTGGCGACGATTGTCAGAATATGTGGAGAACCATTCTGAGGCAGGTAATGCAACCATCATAAGATGCTGTTGCACTGCAGGAATTTATGTCTTTGTGTGTGAAAGAAAGATAGAGCTTGGCTTAGAAATTTTCTGCTATTTAAATATGGATTTCCTATCTACCAAACAGTTGACTGCCCTTTCTTTTGGCTATACACACACATATTGCTGGTCATCGTTGTAACAATTTCTGGCCTCCATTTTTAACTAGCTGAACCAAACAAAGCATGAATGTGCCCTTTTTGAGACTACAAGTGAATATTTATGAGTAAAATGTCTTGTGATTTCAGCTGAACAAGTATCGTACACTGGAAGTTGTAATTTCCGAAGCAAAGGCAATGATCAGCGATCCTGATTATGTAATCCTAAAGGTATCATATTTTGTTTTGTTTTAAGTCTGCACCAAATGAGTCACGAGTTAAACGAATGTCTGGAAGGGGCAGCAGTGTATAGTATAGTATTCACTTCATCTTAAAAATGTCACTATTATTTGTTTCAGTGTATTAGTTAAATGTTTGCAAGCATGAAATAAAAATAAAAATATATATATTAAAAACTCTTTTTGATTACCAAATTGACAGAAAGACTTTGCTCCGAAAAAACCAGTTGGAGTACTTATGGGATATGTGAACGATCATCAGGAAAAATATATGAAAAAACATCCGACAGCAACCCGAAAGCAGGCCTGTGAAGTGCTTTCCAAAAAGTTTTCAGCTCTATCAGAAAGCAAAAAGGTAAGTATAATTCTGTGTAGAGTTGAAAAAGTACCAACATATTATCAGGAGTGTATAATAGAGAAGAGTATGACAGACTCAAAACACAAGAAAGTCAACATTTTCATGCTCATATTTACCTATGATTGATTACGTGAAATCCAATAAAAATGACATCGGAACTAGCGCTGAACATCCAACTTGTCCTCACACTTTACTGTGTATCGATACCTCTTCTTATTATGTAGTTATAGCTTCGAACGTCAGACGTGGTTTCACTAATAAATAGTTAAATACCGCTAAGTGTCGAGCATTTGCAACTTGTAATGCCAGCAAGAGGCAGCTTTCTGTGAAATACCCGTTGGCGGGGTTCGGCGGGGATTTGCAACTCGCAACCAGCTCCGCACGCTGGATCTAACTTGCGGCACGGCTACAACAGATACAGATTTCAGAACTTTTTGAGATATTCTGTTGACAGACAAACCAACAAACAAACTAACAGGGGCGAAAACATAACCTCCTTGGCGGAGGTAACAACACCGAGACGGTCGCTGAGGCTGGCTGAGAAAAGAAAATCAATAGTCAGAGACCACAGTTACGCTAAGCATGCCAGTGGCAGTGGTAGTCAGAGGCACTTGGAACAGAGTCAGTAAAACCTTAAACTAATATGAATGCGGCACATTCACAAAATCTACCTGTTTATTACACTTCGACTAGAGTTGTGGCACTGTATATTGACTTGCTTTCACAAAAACTAGTTGCTCCCGCCCCTCGCCATTGCGGCGGGCGGCGGGCTTACGGGTGTGCGGGGGTCGCTAATCCACAGATATATATAGTAATCCCCGCCGAACCCCGCCAACAGATATGAAAGCTGCCTCTTGTTGGCATTACAGGTTGCAAATGATCGACACTTAGCAGTATTTATTAGTGAAACCACGTCTGACGTTCGAAGCTATAACTACATAATAAGAAGAGGTATCGATACACAGTAAAGTGTGAGGACAAGTTGGATGTTCAGCGCTAGTTCTGATGTCATTTTTATTGGATTTCACGTAATCAACCATAGGTAAATATGGGCATGGAAATGTTGACTTTCTTGTGTTTCGAGCCTATCATACTCATCTCTATTATTCACTCCTGATATTATGCTGCTATGGGTGCCATTTACTACATTTTATCACGCACTGTTTCTTTGACAGCGCTTTGAACACTTTGCAAATGTTGTCACGTAAAGTTTGTTTGTACTAAGTTGTAGGTAAGTTAAATATTAATTTCTCTGAAGACAACTGTTTAACAATAATCTATTGGTACTAATGCTGTTGCTTTGCTAGAGCTACTGCAACTATTACTACGACTTAGACTATCCCTATTACTTAATCACAGAATAAATTTATCGCATTTCATGATAATGTATGGTAGTAAAAATTTCACCCTAAGTAATTAACACTTCCAATTATAATATTGCGATTTCAGGAAAAATATGTCGAGGATTATGAACAAAAACTGAGTTTGTACAAAGTTCAGCTTGAGAAGTACAGGTAGAGTATTTTTGTTATTAGTTAAAGCCACACAATGCGCATCCAAACGCTAATTTCTCCAGTACTAGACTAGCAAATACTTCGTGTCATGCATAATCACACTACCTTATGACAAAATAAACTCTAGTTGCTCCCATTTCACTGCGCGTTTGCTTAAAACCCACAAGAAAGAGGTGAGAAAACTGACATTCTGGCGCAAACGCCGACTGTTTGCCAAACAATTTAGCCTCGAAGTGGTGAGGTGACGTCACATGTTTTTATCTTTGCTACACCCGTATTGCTGTACCGCAGCACCGCTGCACGGTTGCTTGGGGAAACTGTCAACAACATCGGAGAATTTGAACAACATTGGAGGTATTTTTAAATACCTTTTATAAGACAATGCGCAGTGAAATAGGAGGAACTAGAGTTTATTTTGTCATAAGGTAGTGTGATTATGCATGACACGAAGTATTTGCTAGTCTAGTACTGGAGAAATTAGTGTTTGGATGCGCATTGTGCGGCTTTAATTCTTATAATTATCATCTTACTTATCATTGGCACCTAACTGGTTTAACACAGTGTAAGAGCCAACTATATTATGGCTTAGTCTGTGTAATGGAGAATATATTGTCAAAAATCATAAGAGTGAATCCTTTACTGTTTGGTACATTTTATTGATTGGATATTGCTGTTTTTTAGAGGTATTTGATGTTATTTGACAAGTAATTTCCTTAACTGTGACTGAAACATTGCAATATTTTCACTTACAATTAGATCATAAGCTGACCTGTGAAAGACATTTACATGCACATGCACAAACGACACATACTAAGAAAATGCAAGAGCTTGAACTCTACATAACTGTAACTGTATTAATTGTTTGATAACTAAACAGTCGATATGATATTCCATTGTAAGCAGGCTGGCTACAGGAATGATACTTTGCTTCATTGCTGTAAGCAATTGTTGTGGCCTCATGTTTCTAATAGAGAGTTGTTGTTGGCATCTGCAGGGCAAAGCACAATAAGAATGATGCAACTCGGAAACCACCAGGGCCAGCGCCAACCATTCCAGCAAGTGGCCGAGATCTATTCATCATAACGAAGTATCATGAGTTTGAGGAAACACATCCCACCATGGTAGGTTCAGTGTCTTGCTGAGGGCAGGAGTGATACATATTCCTTGCCTAATTTTGATGTTGACTTGCATTGCTTGAAAACAGCACAGATTATACAACAGTTGTGTGAATGCTAAACAGATGATGGAACTGTGTGCTATTTACAATGATTTGAAGGAGAGTCAGTGAGATGGTTAGTTAACTGCTATGTGTGTGTACTTCATGAACGTGTTTTATTACATCAATAATGGGAATTTTTACATGTACACAGGCCAGTCTAAAAGCAAAGAAGAATGAACTAGCACAAGAATGGCAAGAAATTAGTGATAAGAAAAAGTGGAATAAGTGGATAAAAAAATTTTACAAGCACAAAGATGAATATGAGGTTGGTATACAATGAATTATATTACAGTACAATGAACTAACTGAATGACATTAATCACTATAGTCTATCTTTTACTTTTGTGCGATGTGATATTAATGATTATAGCTTGATTGAATAATCACTTTGCCTACAGCAACAAGAAAAAGACTGGATGCAGTCACATCCTAGATACAAACCAAAACTAAAATCGGGTATGTCTATGGTGGAACAGAGAATACGTAACAAAGTCCTAGGGAAACCGCTTCCAGTGAGGTGAGGTTCTTTGACAGTATCTGATGCCTAGTACTTTATTGGCACATTTTGTCATACGAATTTACATTGGTCCCCTTGCCACCAAAATGTCACAATTTGCATTGTAGAATGACAGAGGGAGGTTTTGGGTAATTGTTTTTATGAAAAAATGAATAGTTTTGTGTCACTTAGGCAACGTACACCATTGTTATTACCTGGCTCCATATAGTTGGGTACCAGAAAACACTCACCTATCACATGGTTCATTAGAAATCCTTATTGCAAATTTGGTATAAATGTATAATGATTGACATAAATAATCCATAACTAATATAATAAATAAGTAATATAAAATATATTAAAAATAATATAACATAATTCTAATCATAATCTTTTCATAATAACATTTTTTGTTATTTCACTATACCATGTGAAAATAAACCTCAGTAGTTTAATCTGCATTCACACCATTGTCCACAACTTTCCTACAATGTTTAATATTTTGTTATTATTGGTTATAATTGGTTGTGATTTTTGGTTATTATTCACTGATCATAAGGTGGAATCAAATATAACATTGCAGCACTTCCTCGCATATGTGCAAGATTTGTCTTTGGGAATCTATACAATGTGTGAATTCAGCTTACTACAGCAGCTTAAACACATTTATGTGATGTGACTGTTTTCACATTGTTACATACATTGTTACTTATGATAATATTTTTCACATTATATGTCACAATACACAATTTTGACATTGTGAATGAATTATACCATTTCAGATATCCCTTTGATTTGTATTACAATACAAAGGCAAAAGAGCTACAAAACATGAGAGAATCCGAGAAGAGAAAATGTATAGGAAAAAAGTGGAAAGCTATGTCTTTAAAAAAGCGTTCCAAATGGAATAAAAGGTTCATACAGGTATTTACAGTCAGGGTTACGGACAGGTACCTCTGTCAAGAACATTGCAACATAACTGCTTATCAAATTCAATCAAACTAGTATCTATTTCATAAAAGAAATGTCTCTTTACGCTCTCTATGAAAATTTTAAAAAAAACTCGCTAATTACGTGACGGCAAAAATTGTGAATTTATATAAAAATATGTTTTTTTTCTTATGTCTCAGAAACAGAAAAGATTTGGGACCTAAACTTTTAGCCATAAGGTGTTCATAGTATGAACTAAAAAACTGTCCCTGGAATTTTTCCAAATGCTTTCATTTAGGAAATGAGTTGAAAAGATGCACGAAAATTTGTACTGATTGTTAAAACACAACAATTTCCTAAACAAAGAGCTTCTAAAATATAATATTTCATAAAAATTCCAGGGAGCGTTTTTGTCTTAAATATGTTAGCATTAAAATGGAACAAAAAATTTTGGAATCGGAGTTGTGAGTTTTGAAAAATAGCTTTTGAAAAATCAGCAACTTCAGCATTTCTAACAATGGAGATATTAGCACTTTTCTACATTTCACAGTGATTGAATGTCTGTGTTTACAATATGTGTATGCTGTGATTTTGAACTGTTTGAGAGGCTACATACATAATATATACATATACATAGCTGCCCATGGGCGCCATCTATCAAATAAAATGGGTTTTGAAATTTCGACCGAAAATCACCTACAAACCCTGAATGTATCATTAAATTGTCATAAAAATTTATCTTATTGATTGAAAAAATATGGCTTATTATTAAAATTACTATGGCATAAATTATAAATGTTATCATCTGGTTGTAATCTATAGCATCTGGTTGTATCAGATTAAACTTCCTGGGCTTTGTATTTAAATTTGACAGCTAGTTTATTTGCTATACTTTATTGTCAGGCATCTGTGCAGTACAAGCAAGAACTTGCTGGGTTTTTAGAGAAGCTCTCTCCAGAAGACAGGGAGGCAAAGACTTCTATCAGGAGTCGTAACAAAAAGATACATTTGTTTCAAGGCGCGCCAAAGGCACCTCCAGCGTATGTACCATATATGTGATATGATTTTTTCCTATATCCTGCACATGAATAACATACTATTTAATTTGAAAATTTAAAACATGATTAACAGTTACACATTTCCAATAAATAATTCTTACTCTACAAAAAGTAGTCACACTTGTGAAGAGATCAAGAAAAAAAATTACTACTTTAAAGCCGCACTATGCGCATCCAAACGCTAATTTCTCCAGTACTAGACTAGCAAATACCTCGTGTCATGCATAATCACACTACCTTATGGCAAAAAAACTCTAGTTCCTCCCATTTCAGTGCGCGTTTGCTTAAAACCCACAAGGAAGAGGT